TACATAAATTTAAAAGAAGATACAAGATTTCAAAATTAAATGTCATGGGGAGGATGCTTCAGCTAACCATGATATCGCAGATGCTATAATTTTAGAATTAAAAAACTTATTTCAATATAATACTCAAGATATCTATAACATGAATGAGATGGTATTGTTTTATCATCTTGAATCTGATACAACATTAGCTACAATAAACTTAAAAAGAAAACAAAAATAAAGAGCGATTGACAGTTGTATTTTGTAAGAGCAAACCCAGCATCGCCCACAAAAAAATATAGCTTGCATCATAAATTTATCTTCTGATGACGTTTTTTAGCATATCGCATAAATTATCTATTATATTGTTATTTATATTTAAGTAATAAATATGGAGTCTATTAAAATTTATGTAAAATTTTTAAAAATTTTTTTTTAAAAAAATGAGCGAACAAAATGAATTTGACTGCAGCTTGTGTCATACTACTCAAAAATATGAAAATTTTCTTAATAAAAAAAGCAAACAATTAGCAACTTGTCAAAAATGTTGTAGTAAGCGAAAAAGATCTTTGGATCAAGTGCAAATCCAAGAAACTAAACACATATATGAATCAGTCATTGATTATGAGGAAATTGGCAAATTTGTTTACACTTCTCTAATTTCTTTAGAAAATACTAATGAAAAATATGAAAGCGATACCTTGGGGCTTTATATGAGTTTTAATATTCAACAAGAATTCAATGAGTTATTAAATTATCATGAAGTAAGTCAACAAATAATATTGCTAATAGAAAAAGGGATGGCTATTCCTGGATATATAAAATTCAACATTCAAATAAAAATACTAAGCAGTTGATTTATTGGTGTAATAGTGAAAATGAAAATTTAATATTTAGATATTAGTAAGCAATGAGATATACCTGCACAGATTAAATGGCATGATTGTAAAGGTTATATTAGTATTGAGTTTGACAAAATAAATTTAGTTAAAATTAATTATATGTACTCAATTCTACATTCATTACCAATTCATAATCAAACTATAATAGAAATTCATGAATTTATTTACAATAATATAAATATTTTAGTTCCTGAACTTTGGTGACTAATTCATAAAAAAAGTTTGTTGACTGTGATTATTTAAGTATTAAACAAACATATTATTGTGATATATAGAATCTCAAAAAATTTATCAACGTGATTCAAATTCATTAAAATTAGCATACTTGTTATTAACTACTCAAACTGGCACTCTTTGGTTTTATAATGGCCTTTTATAATACACTTTCACATAATAAGATTGAAGCTATTATGATCGATTTAACATATGGCACAAATAATATAGAATGAAAATTATATATTTTAATAGACATAATTGATGGAACAGGGTTTCTATAAGCTATCTTTTAATTGAATCAAAAAAAATAGAAATATTAGTGAGATACTTACACTGGTCGAAATTTTTTAATATAAAAGGCCGATATTTGGAAAATGGCTAGGTGAAACATCTAAAAATAAACATTCGAATATCATATAGATGATATAAATATAAATAATATAATCAACAAAATATCAGCTTAAAATCATAGGAAGATATAAAGATGTTATATTAAAATTTAAAATTTATTTAAAAAAAAGATGATATAAGATGATTAATATAATCATTAATAAATATTGTGTAATATAAACTGATAGCTTTATGATTAT